GTTTCTAAGGAGCATTCCTGCTTCACTTCTTTCAGTACAGTTTTGTTTGTTCTTCCCACAGCCCATGGTTTATTCAGTATTTTTCACCAACATCATAATTCAAATACATCAATTCTTCTTTGGTCTTCCTTATATACACATTACTTTTGGACATATCCAGGCAAAGTATAAAACCTGCTAAATTGGGGTTGAATTTGGTGACTTATATGATAACTTGCCATTCTGTGAGTTCATCCATTTAACATTATTGAAATAGGTCTTCTGTCCCAAAGCACATTATAATTACCATGATTCTAACTAATTTCATTCTATAAATAGATTATTTTCATTTCAGGCTAGAATTGCTGGCATGCCCCCTTCTTTTTTATTTTAGATCGATTGTGCATATTATATTATTACTACTAAGACAACTGGTCTGAGAAACATAATACTTACTGGCCTGTGTGTATCAGTGGGTTTTCTTTGATGAGAAATCTGGGTGGGTAGAATCTTATTTGTGGCTAATACCCAACAGGTGTGTGTCTTATCCTTTGTTTTCCTTTGGCATGGACTGATTTTACATAGAGATTTTAGGAAAATGACTTGTTCTTTTCACATCTTTTAAACTTCAGAATCCTGGGTCTGGACCAAAAAGACTTTGAATCAACCCAATTAAGGAAATATAAGTGGGAATTCTATGAGGGAAAACAGGTAATTTATGGGACCTATATTTCTGAAAATCATATTAAGGTAACTTTGGATTTCACAGTGAAACACCAGGGTTTTCAGAATTGACAAGTTAGTCTTTTGTCATTCCCTTCATCTCCTCCCCCACCTCCACAGTTAACAGGATGAATTGATTAGGCAAAGTCACAGATGCATTTCTATCACTGTAAAAATAAGTGACCCAAAGCAGCATTTGTGGCTGTTGTCCCTAGGTGCTGCTGAGTCAATTTCCACTCATAGCACCCACATGTGATGAAGTAGAACTGCCTCATAGGATTTTTTCAAGAAAGCAGCATAAAACCAAAAACCAAACTCACTGCCACCAAGTTTATTCCAAAGCGTAGCGACCCCTTTTGGGTTTCCAAGGTGGTAAATCTTTATGGAAGTAGATTGTCCTCTCCTCTTTCTGCAGAGTGGCTGGTGGGTTTGAACTGCCAACCTTCTGGTCAGCAGTCAAATTCATTAGGTACTATGCTACCAGAGCTCCTTTAAAAAGCAGCATAGATCAAGAAAATAGATTGTTGAGAAATAGCCCCACAAGGAAACTCAGTTTTAATCTAATGTCTATAATGAAGATATTAAGCGAAGATATGTGATTATAAATGTTTAAAAGGCAGAAGCAGACTCATGGAGAAGATGGTGGTGTGGTGAGGTGTCACTGTATTTGCAAAGTGAGTTAGGACACCAGGCAGAATTTATATCATACAAGATTCTATTCAAAAGTCCCTATTGCAAAGTGGAACTCCTAAATAATCAACTACCTAGGCAGACATACTGGAATGCATTGAAATGTCTCTTTGTTTATGAGGAAAATAGCCTCAACCTTTGGAATTGTATCAGAAAAAAAGCCAGACTGACAAAGAAACCACAACTTCTTTTGCATCTCTAACAATGATACCTTGAGATCCTGAGAATGCTCTTTGCCGGTTATTATGAGCAGGAGCAAGGAGATAATGAGATCAAGGTGATGGTCTTTGCTTGAGCAAAAGGATTGTAACCATACCACTGTTTTAACCTAAGATAAAATCAATGCTTTTATTTCCTCTTAGTTGTACTCAATATATATGTATATTAATGACATTCTAAGACATGTTCATTGAGAAGGGGATGACATGAATTTAGTAATCCTGCTATACTAAGAAATACATTGGGCTGTCCTTCAGTTAACAAATGGAATGTAACAGAGTGTTAGAAACAAGAGGCAATCATGCTAGTTTTCAGCTAACTCAAGATGAGAGTTGAAAGTCTATTTTTTGCATCTGAATTTCACTGTGAATTATTGCCTTGTGTTCTGGTTCCCTAGTGCCACTCTGACAGGAATATACCACAAATGGGATGGCCTTAACAAACAGGAGTTTATTCTTACAATTTGGAGGCTTTAAGTCCAAGTTCAAAGTGCCAGGCTCTAGGGGCTGGGTGAAAGCCCCTCAACCTTGGGGTCCAGCTCTGCCTCCTGCTCCCGGCCCACTGGAGCTAGAGGCATTTCTTCACTCAGACAGCCGCTGGCTGCTGAGGCTGAGAAGCCCCAAAGTTGACAAGTAAAAAGGCACAGTCCCGATGTTACCAAACCACACGGCAGGCCATTAACTTAAGTCCATTTTAAGTCACAAGGTCGGCAGAGCATAGCAGGCTGCTGAGCAACGACAAAGCTACATGCAGGGTCCAAGTGTGCCATAGGCTGGAGACCATTCCCAAAGGCTTCTTCTTATATGCAGGAAGCAAACCGCATACCCAAAGGCAGCTACCCAGCTGCTTGTGGTAGATCCCACCATGGAGCTTATTGCCAGTCTCATCATGGGGATTAACTACCACCAGCTGCCCAGCCACTCAACCAGGCCCAGCCAAGTTGACACACAAACCAAACTACCACACCTTGTTAAGAAAAAACTGTTTCCATTGACCATTATATTGGTTGATTATGTATGCTGAAATGTATGTTTTAAGGACTGTCATGTTTCTAGTAATGTGTTCTTTTAATTAAGGTGAATTGTTAGAGAAAGTCCAATGATTTTAAAAATAATAATAATAACTCTGTGTAACTGTTATTTTCATAGGAAGCTTACCGAGACACATATGAAAACCATTCCTAGTTGTGCGTTTTCAAATCTGCCCAATATCTCCAGGATGTAAGTAATTCTTTTGAATATAAAAATAGTTTACAGTTGTGACATGTAATTTTCTAATTGTGACACAGGCTCTATTAAAGACACTTTATTGTCTATAGTGCTGTGAGTCAATGGCATGCACACTTTTAATGTACGTGAAAGTGCAAGATGTTTATGAGATTTCACTACATTTCCACTCCCCAGTTCCTAAGCGATTTTTTTTAACTTAAAACAAATTTAAATTCTTTTGGTCTTTTGAATTTTACAATTCTTGATGTATTTTACTATATCTTGGGATGAAAACCTGAGCTGGGAATGTCTTCTTCCATAAGCAGATTTATATATCTGTTTCTATCTATTCTAGTAATTAATTCTTGATTTATGTTTCACCATTAATACAAATGTTTAAATTTGCCATAAATGTAGTTGATGATTTATGAATTCTCTCATAAAAGAGAAAGAAAATAGTTAGGAATGATTCCAAACCTTATAATACTGAATTGCTATCTGCACAGAGCAAAGGGGAGAAAGGTTTCTCTGTTGAGTTGACAAAGAGTACATCTGTATATGAAGTGAATCAGCTCTCTAGTTCACTTAATTTATTGTGAAAAGCAATCCAGGATATTCAGGCACACTAATCACAATGCAACCAGGATTAGCCTGTGCAGGTTCTGGTAAATTTCCTCATTTCTTAACCATTTATTGAGTTCCTACTGTGTCATTTCAGTGCTTTCTCACCAGGCGTTATTTTGCCCCTTAGAGGCATTTGGCAATATCTGGAGACTTTTAGATTGTCATAACTGGAGGGGTTACTACTGGCATCTAGTGAGTAGAAGACAGGGTGCTGCTAAACATCCCACAATGCACAGGACAGCAACCCCCATGACAAAGAAGTTCCCGGCCTAAAGTGTCAATAGTGCAAGGTTGAGAAATCATTCTAACTGAACCTCTTGCAGTTTTGATGTTGCCTTCCATTTTAAAATTCTTGCCTCCTTTGGTTTCCTTCTTGTTCTTTCATCCCTCTTCTTAACATTTGATGCTGAGTACTCTTCCTCAGTCATCTTCTTCACTTCTCATTTTATTTTATTTTACTTTATTTTTCTCAATTCCTTAAATACCAGTAATTTCTTTGGTGATTTTTCCCTAACCCCTATATACCCTATGTTTTGGTTACATGCAGGGTCCAAGAGTGCCAAAATGCTAGAGACCTTGCTCAAAGCTGCTTCTTATCTATGGGAAGCAGCTACTCAGCTGCTCCAGTAGATTCCACCATGGAGTTGATTACCAGTCTCA